AGGTAATTAACAGATAAGCACGGGACACAATTCCTGACAATTCCTCGCTCTCCCGGTGCCTGTGGCAGGCAGAGGTTTTACATCAAGGAGCCTCAGCAGGAGGGAAAATAAATCTGGACACGGATGGACATCAGCTCGATGTGGTGGTGGGGAGGTGCAGGAAAAGCAGATCAGTGTCACCCCCTGCCTGGCTCCCAAACTCACTCATTCCCCATCCCAATACATGCAGAAAGCAAAGGCAGCCCTCAAATCTTTTTTTTTTTTTTTTTTTTTTTTTTTTTTTTTTTTTTTTTGCCATAGCCCCATCATGCTGCTCCTCCTGGGCAGTTTCAGACAGATGGTAGACTTTCACCTTCTTCATATTTTTTTTTTTTAATCCTGAGAAATCCGTGATCCTGCTGAATTCAAAGTGCAACACAGGTGAAGGACCCAGGCAGTGTTTTTTTCATGAGGCTCTGGGAGCTGTGGTGATAAAAATAATTTAGCTTTTATTTATAGATATGATAAAAAATTGATCCTCCTTACTCCTGATTTCTAATATAATAGATTTATTATATCTAATATATAATAACTTCTAATATGAAAAGATTTATTTTTAGTGTGACTGGGGTGTCTTCCCCAGCACTTATGACATTTCTGTGTTTTATTGCCCCAGTGTTTATGGCTTTGAGCTGCTTCAAGTGATATTTTTTTCAAATATTTGAGGGCTTGCTGGAAGTTGTGGCTCAGGATTTGAGGCCAGGTCCCTCTTTAGTGCCTGAGAAAGGTGGTGGGGTTCAAGGAAAGGTGCTTGGCTCTATCTCAGGGAGGTCTGGGACAAACTGGGAATGTTAATGGGGACACCAAACAAACTCCCTGGCTGCTGTGCTCCTGCTGCTGGAGCAGAAATTTGAATGGGAAGCACAGAAGGTTTTAATCATAAAATCCTAGAGTGGTTTAGGTTGGGAGGGACATCAAAGTTACTCTGAATTCGCCCCCTGCCATGGGCAGGGACACCTTCCACTGTCCCAAGCTGCTCCAAGCCCCATCCAGCCTGGCCTTGGACACTGCCAGGGATCCAGGGGCAGCTTCTCTGGGCACCTGTGCCAGGGCCTCCCACGTTCCCAGTCAGGAATTCCTTCCCAATATCCCTTCTAAACCTCCTCTCTTCTGTCAGTTTAAAGCCATTCCCCCTTTTCCTACATTCCATGTCCTTGTCCAAAGTCTCTCTCCTGTTCTCATAGGTCCCACATGGATTGTTTTTACTGCCTGAGGTTGTCCCATTGGGTTCCTCATGCAAACATCACTGGGAGCATGCCAATCCCACCAGGATGGCTCAGGAGGGAGGGATATGTCATCCATGTATCCATCCATGTATCCATCCATGTATCCATGCATCCATCATCACCTCCAGGACCCCTCTCAGCACCCCCAGAATGGCTCTGCCCATCCTCTATGGCACCCATGACCCCATCAGAGGTCCCAAACCTCCAGCCAAACCCCAGGGAAGGGCTCTGAAGGAGGCTCTCACCACCTCCCCCTACCCAGCATCAGGTCAAACCCCAGTGCCTCCAGCTCCTCTCCTCACAGTCCCCTCCCATTCCCCAAAAATGCCCCAGTTAGGGCAGTGACAGACTGGAGTAACCCCTCTATTCCTTGCTGCCACACTGCATCCCACAGATCCCTCTTCTCCCTGACCAATGAGCTGCTCTAAGCCCAGGATTCAGCCCCTGCCTGGGATGGTTTTGGAGCTGTAAGTGGAGACTCCCAGGGATTTAAGTGGCATTTGTTGAGTGAGGCCACCCTGTCCCATGGGAGCAGCCAGCTCAGGAGCTGGGCCTGGAGGGGAGAGGATGAAGGGAAAAATGAGAAACCCAATACCCCCCTTGGCTCTGTCGTGGCTTAATTTCGAGCACAGGGGCTCTGCCAGAGTGTTTTTCCATTTACAGCTGAACCTCTTCCCTTTTGTCCTGCACTGTGCCTTGCAGGGCAGTGGCAGCTGCTGGCTGGGGGGGGTCAGCAAAGCCGTTTCCAACTCAGTTCCCTTTTGCCACCAGCTCCTTCCCCACTTCTTCCACATAAAGAATTGAAAACTGCCTCTTCTTCCTGTCCCTCTCCTGCTTTGGAGCCTCAGGGCTCCACAGCTCCAATCCAGGCTCTAAATTCCTGTGGGATGGGCTTTGACCCCCCAGCTGATCCTGTGCCCCTTGTCCAAGCAGATCCCAGGGCAGGGAGAGCTCTCCTGTGTCAATACAGGTTTAACCTGTAGCTTTAACCACCCTAATGCAACTTAATTCATGTTACAGCCACTTTGGAAAGCTCTTTGCAGGTAAACTCCTGGCAAGAGGCCCAAAGAAAAGAAGGACAATTCATCAAAGATCATTTATTCTCAGCAGTTCAGCTGTACTTTAAAATGGGATGCATCCATCAGGCACTTTATGGCTGCTCCATGGAAGAGCTCTGCCCAGCTCCAAGGCAGGAGACAAATTTTGGCTCAGCCCAAGTTTTTAGAGAACTCATATTTGGAGTTAAGAACTGGCCAAATACTAACAAGGAGTGCCCATAACTAAATACTGGCAGCAAAATTAACCTTGACTGTACCCACCAGCCTGTGCCAGCGTTGTCACCTTTGGCCTGTCACCACCATCAGCTGCAGTGAGAGACTGAAAAAACTCAGAGCTTATAAAAAAGCTGCCTGGGACACGACTTCTCACTGGATGAGGGTTGTCCCAGTGAGGAAATGTTGGGGACTCACAGTACTTTTATCTGAGAGAGGCAAAACAATGGCTGGCTGCAAACTGGAGCCAGAGAAATTCAAATTAGAATTGAAACACAGGATTTTAACAGGCTGGTGTTTATCCATGAGGGAAAAAAAGCCCCCGCTGAAAATTCCAAGGGAAGCAGGGGGTTGTGGTGATTTCATAACAGCTGTATCCCTGAAAGAAACCTTGCAGCTCAAGCAGCACAAGTGTGCTGGAGAGATCCTGGGGCTGAGGATCTCTAGTGTGAGGATTTTTCAGGCAGAGAGAAAAATATTGTCATTGATTTTGTTCTCTGAGTGATGGGTTGGGGTACAGGAGGCTGCTGCTCCCAAGGGCTCCCAGGGTTTCTCATATTTAGCAAAATGCTGCAAGAAAATTGGTTTACTCCCTTGAAAATTGGGAACCAGCAAGAGCCAGCACGGAGAGAATTCAAGCCAAGTCACTATGTGGAATGCATTTCAAAATACTGAGAAGCCCTGGACATTCTGTCCCCCCCACTCTGTGACAGGAGACAGATTGCACATTTCCATGAGGAGCAGCTGCTTACAGGTACAGGCTGCCTAAATAAACTGGTTTCTAGTGGTTGGATTCTTTCTTTGATAAGGCATCCAGTGGTCCAGAAAAAGGGAGAAAATGCTTCTGTGCAGCCCCAAACAAGCACAAGGTTAAAGAAGTGAGTGTTGCAGCACTCGAGGTTTTCAGGAGAGCCATGTGTGTTCTGTGACATCCCAGTTTCTTTTCTTCCCTGTGCTTCAGATCCTTTTTCCTGGAGAGAGGTTTTATTCACAGCTTCCCTGGGACAGGGCATAAGGAAGGGCAGCAGATGTCTCTGCTCTGCTCCTGGAAAATATCATTGATTCACACTCCTGTGTAAGTGAAATCAGAACCTGCAGCTCCAAGTTACAGCCTGAATTTAGCAGCCACTGCACAGCACAGTCCCCACAGTCCTGCTCCTACTCAGGCAGCTTTTCCAAGGGATCTGCTCACTCCTGCAGGTCCTTAAAATCCCTAACAGAGGATCCCTCCCCTCTACAGAGACACCAGGATGGACCTGAACAGAAAACCAAAGCTGTGGCTTGCTCTCAACCCAGGATTTATTCCTCAAATTGTCCAGAGATGACTGAGGGTTGCAAGATGCTTTTTGCTCTGATGCTACTGGCAGGAAAAATATTGCAATGAATGGTCCTGCTTTTTGTGAGAGAGGCCCCTGAGAGCTTGGCTGAGCTCTAGGGCAGTGCTGGGGGAGTGGGGCAGGGAGCACAGGGAGGGTTAATTCCCTGTTAACTCCCAGGTGCTGAGCTTATCCCCAGCTCCCCGACTTCCTCCATCACGGACTCCAGAAACTGTTTGAAAAGAGACATTTCTTGAAGAGAGACATTTCTGAATCTAAGCAGGAAAAAAAAAAAAGACAGGGACAACACATCTGGAGTGATTCCTGCTCTGCTCTTTTCCACTCTGCACAGGGGAGTCAGGATGAAATTCCCATGCTGGGGAAGGGAGCAGTGGTTTTCATGCCCACAAATCCACTTTGCACTGGTGGTGCTGGCTGGGGTTAAAGCCTGACAAACTTCAGGCTCATAAACAGAGGCTGACAAAGCAAAGCAGAAAAAGAAAAGCTTTCAAGACTTTCAAGTGAGAAACAAAGCAGCACTGTACAAAGATGCCAGGCTCTCCATTTGCCTGGAATCCCCAAGGCTGCTCTGCACTGGCAGGCTGCAAGGCAATGCCTGATTAGCTTGCACTCTGTGTCCTCACTGTGCTGCAGGAGAGAAGAACAGGGCTGGCAGGGTTTGCAGCAGCTCCAAAAGTTCCAGCACTGCTGCAGTGAAGACCTGCCTGCATTTTGTAGCATTTCTTCCCAGAGAGAACAAGATCTGCCTGATGGATGAATGCAGAGTCCCAGAAACAGGGAATTCATAACCTGGATGGCAAGTTTTGTATGGAATGAGCTGAATTTAAGGTATGTTGCTTCATTGCAGGGGTAATCTGCACAGCTTTTCAGTGGAAACTCACTGGAGTTTCAGAAATCTGCTGCCAGTATGTTCAAGCAAAGAAAGAGGTTGGAATGATGAGAGGAGCCCACCCAAAGCTGATTTGCAGATAGTCTCAGGCCAGGCTAATTCTGTGCCTCAACACTGAAATGCTGCAGAAAGCCTGAGACAGGCAGGTAGCAGTGTGGGGATAAAAACAGAGCTTGTTTTGCTCTAAGGAAGGGGGCTGGTCTAACTTTTGTACAGCAAATTCCTTCCTGAGCTGATAAAGGCAGCAGCAGATTGAATATCGAGCCCTCTCAGGGAACACTGTGCTGAAATCTGGGAAGTTTTGCCCAAAATCCCCCCGCAGAATTGCAGCTTTCCAAACTGCACCAACCAGCCCTGCTTGCCAACTCTCACAGACAGAAATTGCTGACACATAAAACCTTCACTTTCTGTATTTCATCTCTGTTTCTCATCCTCTCCTGCAAATGCTAAAGAAGTGACACGATCTGAGGCTATAAAATGACACTGGTGCCTGGGCTCTGTCCCTGCTCTGCAGCCCAAAGGATGGGGAATATCTGGCTTAATTCTTCCCTTGTGTGTGCCACTGAATGGCCAGTGAAAAACTATCCTTCACTTGCTCCACTATCACTTGTTACAGCTTAAAATCTTCCTCTCTCTTTCTCACAGTCACCTCCAGAGGAGCCTTCAGCCTTTGTTCTCATCCAGCTGGATCCCAGGCCTGCAAGGAAACAAAAGGAAAAAACTTCCCTGTGAGCTGGGGAGCTTCAAAGCAAATTTCCAACAGTCGCCTCTGTTCTGGGGAAGAAACACTGAAGCCCAGGAGCTGCAGTGATTTTATGAGAGCCCTGAGAAAGAGCAGACTGAGCACCTGCTCCTCCTCTCCCTGAGCCAGGGAAGAGCAATCCCAGCATGGAGAAAGGGAGAACATACCTTATGTTCAGCTCCTCTACCTGGGATTCCAGGGGCAGCTTGGACAGGGCTGCAGGGAGCTCCTCTCTGTCACTCACAGGCCAGGGGAGGCTTGGCTGGGCTGTGGATTCAACCACAGAATGGAGTTTTAGTAAAACAGCAAATCAGTTTTGGCAGCACACCGAGTCAATATCAAGAAACACTGAATAAATATTCTCTCAAATAATATACTTAATCTCTTAAATAAATATTTAAGCTCCTAAATTCTATGTTACATCCATAACATATCATAAACACATGACAGATTTATTTTCATTTCCTTCCAGCAAAGTGAAAACATGATGAGTTTGCATTTCAGGGCTAAATATGTGCCTACATATGTAGGGAGGAAAACAATCAATCCAAAATATTGAAGTGACAAAAAACAATTGGTGACAAACAGCTGAAAAGTATTAATTTGATGTTAATCTTGTAATTCTGTTTCAGATTATGACAAGTGTTGCCTCCTGAATGTCTGGGACAAATCTTGCATATGGCACTCATTGAAACAACTTTTGTAAAAGCATTTTGATCCTCAGCATCAACAAAATGTAGGTTAAATGTACTTCAAACCAAGGTTCTAATTCAGGAATGCTTTCCTAAATAAAGGTCTACCCAAAACATGCAGCTCTGGTCATTTAAGAAAAAAAAAAAATCAGAAACTTTTTTCAGGGCTATAGAGAAAATATAATTCAAATAAGTGAGCACAGCTATTGCAGCACTGAGGGGCTGCAGGGTGATCTCTGCTGTACACAGAAGGCTGAATCATTTTAGCAAATGTAAATAAATGGCTTTCTCTAAAATAATCAATAGCCAGCACTACCTACCTGGAGCCATGTAACATGAGGGAAGGATTTGTGTGGTTCAGCCCCAAATAAATGATAAAAATAAAAAAACCTGCTAAATGAAGAAAGCAACAGGCTGGAGCTGGCTGCAGTCCTTATAACTGGGAATACAACACCATGACAGTGAACAGCCACCTGTGTCATGCTCCTACTGAAAATTGAAATTTCTGGTTTGTGCTTGTGTTGTCATGTTGGCACATTTCTGTATCCCTTTCCCCAGTTCATATCACTCATAATATCAAATATCTTCAAATAAGTACATTTGGTATTAAAACACTAAATCCTCCTCGTGTGGAATTATCTGAAAGAACCTGGTTGGACAGTACTGAACTCTGACAAAAACAAATGAGAAGAAAAGGCTGCATTGTATAACTAAAAATGCTTTTGATCTTGAGGCTGTGCTTTACAAGGCTGAGGAAAACCTGCTGTTACTTACCTATCTCTCCTCTGGGATTATTCTTTGATAACTTGTAATTTGGATAAAACAGGAAAAAAGCACAGAAAATGAAAAGCCTGAATAATTTTAAACCACAACTGGGTTGTTTCCAGCCCCTTAGCATCATTATCTACTTCCCTTGAATTGAAGAGACCAGAAACATTAGATTAGCAATTAGATCAGCTCTCTCCAATTTTGCACTTTCAGAAAGAAAGGAAAATACTGTGTTAATTAGCAGGTTCTCTAGTCTCTATTTTATATTCAGGCTTTTCATTTCTTCTTATTTCCTCAACCATTGGCATGAAAGCATTGAGATAACCTCCATGCTCTGCTGAAGAGGTGTATTGCAGACTTGTAGACTTGGTTCTTGTACAAACTCCAGTTTTGGCACATCACAAAGCTCACATCAAAGCAGGAGAGAGAAATAGATTGTTACCTACTCATCTCATGGATTTAGAGAGGATTTCTCCTTATTAGCCTTACTGGCAATCCTTTTCTACTTTTGCTTTTAGTCCTTAAGCAGAGGAGATTAATGAACTAAATATTTAGTAAGAAGGGATCTGTCACAGTGGTGAAAACAGCTTCTTCCTCTGGCTATGAAATGCCAGCTGCCACAGGGGAGTTACTAAAACTTTACTACAGCACAACAAAACTTGACCAAAAAGCCTCAGGACCTGGAGAGTTTGTCTCTCTTGGAGCTTGCAAGGGGAATCTTTGATAACAGAACATATCAACACTCCACCAGGTTGTGTAAAAAGTCTGAGCACTCAGAAACTCACTTAAACTCTGTATAAAACAGCACCAGAACGCTCCCATACTACTGGGATATAAACTCTTTTCTGCTCTCAGTTAATACAGGTGAAAAAAAATCCACATGAGAATGAGTCAGTGTGAGCTGGAGCCCCTTCCAAGGACACGGCAATCCTGCTCTAAGGAACAAATCCATGTTTTACAGAGAGGAGTAGGTTTGAGGCACCCATTCAGTATAAAGGTTCCTCTTGAAGGGCCCATCCAAGGTCTCTGATGAGCCCTGTGGTCCCTCTGGTCACCCTAAGTCAGCCTGACACCACCCCAACATTTGCCAAATTGAAATTCCCCTCCCTGCTGTTCTTCTTCTGGCATTTGAAGTCTTTTTATTTTACAAAAATACACATAAAAAGGGAAACCACTGGAAAAATTTCCTTAAGAATATGTGCCATTTTATTGGTTTAGACACTTTACAGAATCAGAGTCCTTAAGCAATAAAAGGATCTGATCAGGGAAATAAAAATTTAACATCCACCATGAATTCTTCTTCTTTAACTACGCCAGGGAGGTTTTCATATTTATAGCAGGAGATTATCACGTTCATGGGATAATAAATTACACCAGATCTAATTACTTCATCACCAGCAATAGTTTTTCATAGGCACTGACAGACCTTAAATTGGGATGCGTCCTTTAATTCTGCTCTTAACCTTCAGCTGAATCCCTCAGGCACGAGTGCAAAGGGAGCTCCGGGGGCAACACAGAGCAGGGGAAAGCTTTTCTTTTTTTTTTTTTGGAGTTATCCCATAAAAAACAAGCTACAAAAATCCTGCTCCCACTGAAACCTGGGGGAAAATCCTTTTCAGTTAGGAAGGGTCAGGATTTTTCCTCCTGGGTGTGAGCAGGTCCCATCAGCACAAGGTCAAGCACTGGGCTGGGTTTGGCAGGTGGAGCCCAAATGTTGTCGCTGTCTATAAAGCCCAGAGGTGAAACAGGGGACGTGGCTGTGGCTGAAGGCTCCCCCTCACCTTTTCTTTTCCTCTGGACAGGTTTCTGTGCACTTGTGCTGCTCCCTGGATCCACCTGCAGATTTTCAAGCTGCTCTCCCAAGAAGTCACTCTGCTGCCGCTCCTCCTCAAATACCAAGATTTCCTTGCTGCTTTCATTCACCCTGACAGGCAAACAAAAAAAAAAAGAAAAATTTAAAAAAGGGAGTTCAGCTCATTTGTGTCATGTCTATGTCAAATCAGTCTTGGTACTGAATCCTGCTTCTTCCTGCAGAGCTCCCAACTGAAGGGAAAGAACTTTCCATGCATCCAAAGGCAGAAATCCCAGTGAAATTGCATCAGGTGACATCTTCTAAATATGCAAAAGAGAATTAACTAATGAGTACAGTTGGAAACAATGGGTTTGTTAATGGAGGTTGCTCAGATCCCTTAATTCTGGCTCCCTGCGAGAATTCGTCCCTCAGATGAGCAGGGAAGCTGCAGATTGCAGAGGAGAGATCTTATTATTACAGGAATAATAAACTGCATTTTTTAGACACTCTGGGAAAGCTTGGAAGGCAAATAGTTTATAAAAACAGTCGAACATTTGCGTCAGTTATCCGAGAGGAAGAAAAGAAACTTGAGGCTGCTTTTAATAAACTTGCTATTAGACATGACCATGGATGGGAGAGGGTGGAAAAGAAACTGGTGGTTACAT